AAAATGAAGCAGGGTAATTAAATCCCACAACCTCAGAGGGAAAGGAAGTCCTCTGAAGTAATAGTCCGTGTAGGTAAGTCAGCATCCCAGGGCAAAAAACAGGGTGGGAAAGGAAGGAGAGTAGATCTAGAAGAGCAAATGAAAGGCACCTACTTCAACCTGAGAGGTCTTTCTGGTGCACTTTCACATCTCTTTATTCTAATGGGTAAGTGCCAGACAAGGAAAGAGTTACTGAACAGGACATTTCTCCCCTCCCCCCTTTTTTTTTTTAATCCTCACCTAAGGATATTTTTCCATTGATTTTTAGAGAGAGTGGAAGCAAGGGGACTAGAGAGAGAAACATCTATGTGAGACACTTCGACTGCCTCCCACACATGCTCGGGCCCGACCGGGGATTGGGCCTGCAAATGAGGTATGTGCCCTTAACCACTACTGAACCCGAGACCCTTCAGTCCTCGGGCTGAACCTCTATCCACTGAGCCAAACCGACTAGGGCTCTCACCCCTTTCAAATGGTAATGCACAGGGCCTATCTACCATAAAATATTTATAAGCATGTTTTTAACTAGTAAATATTGTTATTTATCATTCCATTCTTAATTGTTCAGAATTCTTTGAAGGTCCAATGATTTATAGGACTTTCCCCATGCTTATGAACTTTCCCTTACCTTGCTAGGCAAAATAAAAAATCACAAAAATGCAGATACTATCAGAACCCTCAAGGAACTTACACTGAGGGGGTTATATTCTTAGATAACTAAGAAGGCACAATGAGGTAAGTGCCACCAGAGAGAAAAGAGCTGTGGTACTGTGAAAAGTTCTGGAACAGGCTTTCTAGCCATCTGGCCCCTGCCAGGCACAACTCTAGCCAGAACTCACTATTATCCTACTAACAAACTATAGACATTTCAATCAGGTTCCCTGCAGGTCCAGATCTGGAGTACTGCTCATCAAGCCCCTATCAGCCTCCAAATTTCCACTGTACCCTCAACTAATAAGATGGACCCTTCCACCTCCTGGAAAAAGCCCTTCTGCTTCCTAAGGATGGTTCAAATGTCACCTCCTTACCTGAACTTTATGTAGACCCTCAAGGAACAATTAGTTTATGCCTCCTCTGCAATCCCAAAAGCCTTTGCTTCAAGCACTTAAAGCACTTATTATCCATGCGTACCTGTGCAGGGTCCCCCACTATACTGTGAAATCTTTCTATTTTTAGATTTTTATTTATTGATTTTAGAGAGAGAGAAACATCAATCTATTCCACTTATTTTTTAAAATATATTTTTATTGATTTCAGAGGAAGGGAAAGGGAGAGAGAGAGAGAAATAGAGGTAGAAACATCGATGAGAGAGAATCATCGATGGGGTGCCCCCGGGCATGTGCCCTGACCGGAATCTAACAGATATCTCCAGGTTCATAGGTTGATGTTCAACCACTGAGCAACACCAACCAGGTTGTTGTTTTGTTCCACTTATTTATGCATTCATTGGTTGCTCCTTGTATGTGCCCTTGGGATGATGCTCTAACCCAGGGGTGGGCAAACTTTTTGACTGGAGGGCCACAATGGGTTCTTAAACTGGACCAGAGGGCCGGAACAAAAGCATGGATGGAGTGTTTGTGTGAACTAATATAAATTCAAAGTAAACATCATTACATAAAAGGGTACGGTCTTTTTTTTTTTTAGTTTTATTCATTTCAAACGGGCCGGATCCGGCCCCGAGTCTAACCCAACGGTTGCCGACTGGTGATCCACAGACCACTGGTGGTCCGTGAGGTCTGAAAGGTTGGCAACAGCTGCTCTAACCAACTGAGTTATCTGGCCAGGACTAGACTGTGAGATCTGTAAAGCAGCTTTGAATCCTCAGCCACTCACAGCGCCCAAAATATAATGTGTCAAACACAGTATAAGTACTTTACATGTATTACCAAAATACATTAACGTATACATATCATCAATTATCACAGTAAAACTACAAATGAGGTTAGAATTCTCATCATCTCAATTTTATAGATGAGGAAAATAAAGTGCACAGAAAGGTTAAGTAACTAAAGTGCTCAAAGTCTCAAAGCTAATAAGAATTAGACCCCAAGATTTCAACCTAGCCACAACTCCAAAATTGAATATAAACAGGGTTGAGAAGGTCTCACTACAAGACCAATGGTCTCCATCGCAGAGGGCATAGTTATTATTTACCCCCTGGGGTAGGGGTCCTCAAACTTTTTAAACAGGGGGCCATTTCACTGTCCCTCAGACCGTTGGAGGGCCGGACTATAGTTTAAAAAAAAAACTATGAACAAATTCCTATGCACACTGCACATATCTTATTTTGAAGTAAAAAAACAAAACAGGAACAAATACAATATTTGTATTTGCATGTGGCCTGCGGGCCGCAGTTTGAGGACCCCTGCCCTGGGGGATGTAAGGACAATACTGGAACCTCTAACCATATTTGTTTTAGCTCAGCCTTTTGTAAAATGTCTATTTTTGCACATTATAAAGTATACATAATACAGCCCTGGGCGGTGTGACTCAGTTGGTTAGAGCATCCCCCCATCACCAGAAGGTCTCGGGTTTGATTCCCCATCAAGGCACATAAATACCTGGGCTTCGGGTTTGATCCTGGTTGGGGCACATAATGGGAGTCAACCAATTCTGTCTCTCTCACATCAATGTTTCTCTCTCTTCTCTCTAAAAAAATCAATAAAACATATCTTCATCCTCCCACCCAGCCTGTGTTGTTCAGTGGTTTAGGGTTGGCTCATGCACCAAGAAGTCACCAGTTCGATTCCCAGTCAGGGCACATGCCTGGGTTTTGGGCTCAATCCCTTGTAGGGAGTGTGCGGGAGGCAGCTGATTGATGTTTCTTTCTCAAACACTGATGTTCCTATCTCTCTTCCTCTTCCTCCCTCTCTCTCGAAAATCAATAAAAAATATATAAAAATTAAAAAACAAACAAAACATATCCTCAGGTGAGGATAAAAAAAAATGTACATAATACAGAGTACAGTCAACACCATAATTGTAATTTAAAACAAGCATTCACATAATGTGTGTGTAATACTCAACCCTATTTACTAAGAGAACACTAAAAACATTTGAGGCCACTGCTCTAGATTACTTCCCCTAGGGACTCTGAGCTCCTACATTCTCTCTGCCCAGTACTTCAGTTAAAAGCATTAGCCAAATGTTTAGACTATAGGTAAGCTTCTAGACTAGAGGCAAGAGTCTGCTCTTTCATTCACCTTTGAAGCCCTACAACACCACAGGGCCTGGTGCTTAGCAGATGGTCAATGCTGAATCTAACTGTATCATGAGAATCTCATTGAAAAAAATCCTCTCAATATTTTAATGTAACTTACTATATGCTTCCAGATTAAAAGAAAAAATATACTAAGCACACTGCCTAGGAATATAGAATTGCCTTAGAAACACCAAAAATTTTTTTTAAAATAAATATTATGTCCTCATTAGTTACATAATAGAATACAAATATGTACTTTGGGGCATATTTTAAAGTGAAAACTGCATGAAAGAGATTGGACATAAAAAATTTAAGTTCAGATTAAAGGTTCTGTCAACTACAGCGATGGTGCACCTTTGTCAGACCTAAAGGTCACCTCTGTCTGCCTTTCCTTAGTTATAAGCGCCAAGAGGAAGGAATTAAGCTATCAAAAGCTCCAACTGCAGACTTGACTATGAAGAGGCATCAGCTGGGGGCAACTACTTTGCATTTCTTCAATCCAGCATTTAATGGGTATCACACAAAAGAGAGAGAGGCTGTATAAAGCCTCCTATTTAGGTGCTGAAGAAGATGGGCTTTGAGGCTACATTAGATTGTAGGGATTCTTCTGTTCCTCAGTTTCATTCTCTGCAAAATGGGCATTTTCAAGTACTTAACTCATAAATAAGTCACCAGGATTAAATAAGAGAAAGCATGCAAAAAGGACTTGTCTCTCCCCCACCCCCAAATACTACTAAATTCAAAGTCCGAGTTTGATCTATCTAGTTTGCTGCTATATTCTCAGGGCCAAGAATGGTACTTTTTACTTAATAGGTTATTTAATAAATATTAAATGAATGAAATGCAAAATGCCTGCTGCTCGAAAAAATGTTGGCGAGAAACAATTAAAATTTTATTGTATTAAGAGACCCCACCCCACACCCAAGGATCTCACAATTCCCGGAGGAACACTAGATAAATGCTGGAATGGAGGTAAGAAAAGCAACTGGATTGTAAAACAGGACTAAACAAAAACAAAATAAAATCTTAAGTCTACAACCACGGCCCAATTCCGGGCTTTCCGGAGTAAGGTTCACCCAGGATGAGGTTGATAAACCATCACCATGACAGTTTTCACGCTTGCGTTAGGTGCCCAAGTCTGTGTCAAGCGCTCTACTGGCTTCACAAAACCCAACCACCGGGGTCGGATGGGGTATGAAGACGATTTTCACAGCCCCACGTTACAGACGGGAGAAGCGAGGCTCGTCGAGAGCCAAGGTCGCAGCCTGTAACTCTAAGTGGGGGCGCCGGGATGTGAACCCCGGCAGTCCGACCCCTGAGCCTGCACTCCACAGGCTTCTCAGAAGAACCATCCTCGTGTCCTCCACCACCGGCCCCGTGCCCCTCGAAATCAGAAGCGTGTCACATCCCCCCAGGAGCCGGACTTAGCGGCCCCAGTGCTGGGAGAACAAAACAATCCTTGTCCGTGGGCAAGTCCCAGGGACGCCGGCCCCGCCTGGGGCTTCGAGGCCGCGGTCCACACAGTTTCGCTCTCACCGTGAGCCCCGAGCCCTCCGGATGGCGCTGGAAGTGCCCAGGCGGCCCCCGGGAGCCCAGGAAGGCCCTTGCCCGCCGCATGACCTTGGATCCGCCGCCCGGCTTCGGGCCTCAGTTTCCCCACCCCGGCCTCGCGCCAGGGGCCTCTCGGAGCTCGCGCCCGTTGGAACCACAGGCCTCTCACACGCCCCCCTTCAGCCACCCGCCTTTTCGTTCCACTTACGCTGGAAGGCGGCCGCTCCAGGGACGCCCACCATCGCCAAGGGCCTCCGTCGCGAGCCTCCCGCCTCCGCCCGCGGCCAGGGTCCTTCACAGACGCCGCCGCGGGACCTGTGGCCGCCAAGCTCGCCAACCCCAGCGTCGCCGCTTCACTCGCAGCTACCACCGCCGTTAGGCCGCGCGCCGCCCCGCCCCCCCGTTGGCTCCGCCCCGCCCGCCGGGCACGCCCCCAACGCGCGCTCCCGCCCGCCTGACCCACGCACGCAGAAGCCCGGCCCAAAGATCAGCATCCATTAAACCCCGCCCCCTGACTTACCCCGCCCCTTCCGCGCGAACCTACCGCCCTATCCCGGAGCATCCTGCTTCTCAAACCCTTCCCTCCTGCGTCACTCGCGCTGGTCACACGCTAGGCTCACGCTTTAGGTACCAAGCTTCCCGCAGAGGCCCGAGCGTCGGCCGAGGCCCGGGGACCGGGGCGGAGTCCTAGGGGCGGAGCTTAGGGAGGAAGGAGACGGCGCCTCACCTGAGTTCTCCACGTTAAGGCCTGGTCGCCTTTGAGCCTGTGATAAGGTAAGTCACTTCTTTTTGGCCTACCGTGTTCCAAAAGTGCAAAATGTCATCGTCATTATATTAATATCGTTTAGTTTTCGTTATTATCATTGTTCAGGTCCTGTTTTTATACATTCCATCAGGCTAATGCTCACAATAAAGGAGAGCGGTATTATTTTTCATTTTCTGCACAAATGGGAAGGGCTTTCCCATCAGTCAGCTTGCCCACGGCTACTGTTAGCAAAAAGCAGATATGGGACTGGAACCTAGAAACTCCTGACTTCAGACCTAGTACTTTGAGCTACTCTGAACTATTCTACCTCCTAAGGACTCAAAAATAGGGACTAAAATTAAAACAAAAGGTTAAAAATGCCAAACTCCTCTATGTACAATGACAGTTCTTTTACAAGCAAAATAAAGGGATAAACTATGTGCAGCAACCCGGCATGGCTCAGAGGATGAGCATCGACCTATGAACCTGGAGGTCATAGTTTGATTCCCAGACAGGGCACATGCCGGGTTGCAGGCTCAATCCCCAGTGGGGAATGTGCAGGAGGCAGCCCATCAATGATTCAGTGATTCTCTCTCATCATTGATGTTTCTTCCTCTTTCTTCCTCTCCCTCCCTCTTTGAAATCAATAAAGAGAGAGAGAGAGAGAGAGAGAGAGAGAGAGAAATGGTAGTAGTAATAGCAAGAAATGTCCAATCTTCCAGTTGTCCAAAACTTGCCCCATCCCTCCATTCACTGCCAGTATTCTTTGGTTACCTAAGGCCTACAGGGTCTGAGACACTAACATTTAAGAGTAAGAGACAGGCGCTGGCCAGTTTGGCTCAGTGAATAGAGCATTGGCCTGCAGACTGAAGGATTCCAGGTTCTATTCCGGTCAAGGGCACATACCCAGGTTGTGGGCTCAATCCCCAGTATGGGGCATGCAGGAGGCAGCTGATCAACGATTCTCTCTTACATTGATGTTTCTTTCTCTCTCTCTCTCTCTCTGAAATCAGTAAAAATATATATATTAAAAAAAAAAAGTAAGAGACAAGGTGCCCTAGGGCCTAGATGGTTTGGCTCAGTGGATAGAGTGTTGGCCCTCGAACTGAAGGGACCCAGGTTTGATTCCAGTTAAGGGTATGTACCTCGGTTGCAGGCTGCATTCCTGCCCTGATCCAGGTCCATGCAGGAGGCAGCTAATCAATGTGTCTCTCTCACATCCATGTTTCTCTCTCTCTCTCTCTCTCTCTCTCTCTCTCTCTCTCTCTCTCTCCCCCCCCCCCCCCCCCCCACACTCTCTCTAAAAAAATCATGGAAAAATATCCTTCGGTGAGGATCAACAACAAAAAATAGAGTCAGAGACAGGGCTGGGTGCCTTGCAAACTCAATTTGACTTCAGTTTTGCAACTGTTCCATTTTCCAGCTAAAGACACTGAGATCATACTGATAATGATCATACTGAGACTCAGAGACTTACCATAAAGTTTGCCTGTGTCAGAAGTTTAGTCTCAAGTGACAGAATTGAATTCTGACATTCTTTTCACAACCTTGTAAAGGAATTATAGTCTCTATAGACCTAAGGAAATTGCTCAGAGCCCTGGCTGTTTCTTATCCAAACCAAGTAATTGTTTTTCTTCAGGAACAAAGAGGATAAAGATGGGTGGCAGGGAGAAGTGCATGCTGCCTGCCGTCTGCCCTGGCCATGCCCCTTCTGCTAATGAATGATAAACACAAGGCCCAGCCAGTTGAGTGTCAGTGAGGGAAAGCTAATTTAAAGGTGTATGGTCTTTATTGACTGAATAGGGGCCTGTAATGCCGATGGCATTTTAGAAAGCCTTTCTGTGCACCAGAGAAGTACAGTGGGACTTTTCCAATAAGCAAGGCCCTTTCTCCCTAGGAGGCTGAAGAGCACAGGAGCTTAAAGGGAGAGATAAACATGTTGACTTTCTTGACCGCAGGTTCTATTGTTAAAATTCATTATTGTTTATGATTATGAGAGGAATGTGAGCATACTAATGGTGAGGAATTTGTTACTACACAACAAGATTAAGAAGAAAATGAAAACCACTCTTAATTCTTGACACTAAAAAATAAATTGCTGCCCTGGCCAGTGTGGCTCAGTTGGTTGGGCATCGTCCTGGGCACCTGGGCGTTACCTGTTCAATTTCCCATTTCCGGCTTGATCCTCCGCAGGGGACATGCAGGAGGCAGCCGATTGGATTTATATTATGCTCACACATTGATGTTTCTCTCCCTCTACCTTCCTCTCTCTCTAGCAATCGATTTAAAAATCTAAATGAATAAATAAATAAATTGCTTTCACCATTTTACTAAATATCCTTCTCAGCTACTTTTTTTTTTATAGCAAGGTGAAAATTTTTTGAAGAACAAATACAGACTCCCACATGAGGAGGGGGAAAGAGTCCCCCTCAGCTACTTTTTTTCAACCATTCTTTAACCCTTACCTGAGGATATGTTTATTGATTTTTAGAGAAAGAGAAAGCAAGCAAGAGAAACATCCCCTGAGAGAAACATTGATTGGTTGCTTTCTGTATGCATCCTGACCACGGATTGAACCTGCAACCTAGGTATGATCCCTGACCAGGAATCAAACCCATAACCTTTTTTGGTGTATAGGACAATGCTCCAACCGACAGAGCCACCATGCCGGGGCTCAACTATTTTTTATTAATGGGTATTTATATAACTGAGATCATACTGATAATACATTTCTGCATCCTGCCTTGCTTCTTTTTTCACTATTATAGATGTCAGCATTTTTGTTGTGTCACTAAAAATTATTCATAAATATTACTTGATAGATGGCCACATGACATTCTATTTTTGGTAGAATCTGATATGAATAGCCATTAGGGCTGCTTTTTTCTTTTTCTTTTTTTCTATTATAAATTATGTCTTATTGAACATCACTGTGCATCACACTTTCTTCTTTTCTGATTCTTTCAAAGGGCTTTTTAAAAAATAATACTTTATATACCTTATTTATTTTTAAATATATTTTTATTGATTTCAGAGAGGAAAGGAGAGGGAGAGAGAGATAGAAACATCAATGATGATGAAGAATCATTGATCAGCTGCCTCCTGCATGCCCCCTACTTGGGATCAAGCCCACAACCCAGGTATGTGCCCTTGACCAGAATTGAACCTGGGACCCTTCAGTCTGCAGGCTGACACTCTATCCACTGAGCCAAATCAGCTAACACTGTACTGTTTTTTTAATTGGGTGATCATCTCTTCAAGGGCCAAGCTCCACACCAGCCCCCCAGCCCAGGGTACCAGAACTGGGAAGAGAAGTCCCCATAACTGCAGGCTGTAAAAAGCAGTGGGGTTTGTGGCTGAGTGACATGGAGGCTGCTGGAGACCCACATGTCACTTTTAAAGGGCGGCAATTGGACTCCATCCCTCTGAGCTCCAGTGCTGGACAGCTTTGGGAGACCCAGACACATACGGGGAGGAACTGGATTGTCTGGCATCAGGGCAGGAACTCAGGGGCAGCTTTCTCCCAGACAGGAGTGCTCACAGGGGTCATTGTTCCTGTGCTGGGACCTCCCTGTTGAAGAGCTGATTGGCAGGAGCCATATCTGAGTCTCCATCTGCCTGGTTCATACTGTTTGCTCAGCCCTCATGATTTCCTGAGACCCGCCCCATCCAATTTGCAGCCCCACCCAAGCTGTTTGCAGCAGCTTTTCCATATGAATGGTCTGTCCTGGATCAGGCTTCAGACTTTACTAAAATCTCTCAAACAAGTTGCAGCTGGTGTCAGTGTGCCCCAAACCTATCAATAAAAGGCCCAAGGCCCAGTACTAGCACCAGCCTGCCTTGCTTCAGAACTGGGCCTGGCCTGGGTATTTCCAAGCCTAATACAAATAGCAGCCATCTGCAGATCTCTCTGTAGCACCTGCCAGGTGGCCCCCAGTCAGTAGCTGACTTTGCACCACCCTGGAGCCCCTAGAACCAGTGCACTCAGTGGACATCTTCAGACCATACCAGATCAATGTTCTACACATCCACAAATGACACACTCAAGGGGCAGACTCAGTGAGCACCAATGCCCACTGAAGCAAGTCCTCCATAGGAGTTTTTCCGGCACAGCAGCTCTCCCACTGTAGTCACATCTGGTCCTCACAGCCACTGGCTTGGAGATCAAATCCTCCCAGTGACACCAACAGCAATCAAGGCTCAATTACAAGACTGTACACACAGCCCATACAGGGGTGCACCTAGAGTGCCCAGCTCAGGTGACTGGGGAGGCTGAGCCACTGGGCCCTACAGGACACCTACTACACAAGGCCACTCTACCAATTCCAGGAGACATAGCAGCTCTACTTAATACATAGAAACAAACATAGGGAAGCAGCCAAAATGTGGAGACAAAGAAACATGTCACAAATGAAAGAAATGGAAGCAAACGAACTTCTAGATACAGAGTTTAAACCAGCCGTGGGCAAACTACAGCCCGCGGGCCGGATCCGGCCTGTTTGAAATGAATAAAACTATTGAAAAAAAAGACCGTACCCTTTTATGTAATGATGTTTACTTTGAATTTATATTAGTTCACACAAACACTCCATCCATGCTTTTGTTCCGGCCCTCCGGTCCAGTTTAAGAACCCATTGTGGCCCT